ACATTTCCTGTCTTGCTATTTCTAAATGGTTTCCACTTAACCTGATTTTGACCACATTGTGGTTTGGGCCAGCTATCAAGGACACTAAGCACTGAAGCCCAAATCTTGAGCCCAATATCAGAGCTGAGAAGCTGGGTAGATGTGAAGCTATGAGGGAGAAATTCTTCTTCCCAAATCAACTGTGTACATAGGGAGAGTTACCTTGCTCCCCCTTGCCTGTTTATGTAATACACTGCAGCAACATTGTCCGTCACTATGCTGACAGTGGCCCCCGTTATGTATGGATGGAAGTGCCTGTATGCATGGAAGATGGCCCTCAACTCCAGGAGGTTTATATGTAGGCGCCTTTTGGTAATCGACCATTTGCCTTGTGTCCTCTTTGCATTCATGTGTGCACCCCACCCGATGAGGGAGGCGTCTGTTGTTATCTGGGCAGATGGTTGCGGACAGTGGAAAGGAACTCCTGTCATGAGGTTGTGTGGTTTCGTCCACCAGCAGAGGGACGTGCGAACATGGGTTGGAGGAGACACTATTTTGTGAATGCTGTGTCTTATGGTCATATACACAGTTGCCAACCAGTGTTGTAGGCACCGTAAGTGAAGCCATGCGTGAAGGACACGCTGCATGGCCATCTGAGGCCAGCATCACATCCTGACATAGGGAACATTTTTTAAACCCTGGTGAACCAGGCATAGCAGGGTCCAGAGTTTTAACGGAACCCTATGGTAAACAGCTAAGAACCTAACTATTACTACACTAATGAAAAAAAATTTTTTTTTTACTATTAACTATATAACAAGAACTATACAATGAGAGGAAAACTACTACTAATTAACTAACTATATAACTTTTTGTCTTTTTACAGATAGATATTTAGTCAAACTGAGGAGAAGAAGGGAGCTCCGCCAGCAACCGAGGATGGTTAAGAGGGACTGGCGGGAGCCGGACCGTGCAACGGAAAGGCGTGAACGGCGTGTGTGCTAACCGCGCATAAGCAGTCTGGCCAACTATGGCTGTAAAAACCTCTCAACAGCGGCGCCAGGATGAGCCCAACACCTAGAGTTGAGCACCCACGGGGACCACTCAAAGAAGAATTGCATAGTAGGTATTTGTAGAAGGTCTCCACACTGGTTCAGGGAAGATTCAACTTTCAGGCAAAGGTACTGGTCAGTTCTTGAGCAACTAAGACACTTTGTTCACAGGATTAAGACATTCTGATGTGTCATAATTGTCCTGCCTCGCATGATGGTAAATGTGTTTAGTTAGTTACAACACAGGAAAGTAAACCGGTAGTGATTGAGGAAATAGGCTACTGCTTCCTGAATAATATTGCTGAAGTTACATGTTTGGTGGCAAGTCATGTTTGCTGAGCAAGAAGGTCTTCCTTCTAAATGTAATTAAGCAATTCCTGAGGGTCCCTTTTAGGTCCTTCATGCAATGAGCTGTTGCTGCTTCTTTCGTGAGTTAAGATGACCTCATTCCCGGAGGACATTTGCATTTATTTTTTAAAGGTGAAATTGAGTTTATCTTAAAGAGAAGCTCTGTTGAACTAATGCTGAATCATATTGAAATTCATCAAAAAGCAAGTTACTGACATTTTTTTTCCAGGATGAACCTTCTAGTAAGAGTCAGCTGAAGTAGTAAGGATGATTTTTCCTTAAAAAATGCACTGACATATTTTGTCCCACATGGTAACCATTCAGCAAGGTCTATAATATGTGTCAAAATAGGTCTTGCCAATTCTCCATTCAGCTATATGAGAATTTACAAAGCTGTTAATGGAAATGCAATTATCCCATTAAAATACGAAGTCCCAGTCTGCATCACTAGGGAATATCCCATTGTCCAAGATTTGGAAATAGCATGGTTATTTTCTTAAAAGTGACAGAATGTTTCATAATTCCTAGCAAAACTCGATTCCACTGCAGGTGGCTTGGTTTTGTTTTAACTTGAAGAGAATTTGTTATATACTAGAATTTTCCGCTATTCTTGCATTACAAAATATATCCCTTGCTGCATTCAAAAGGAGGACAATAAATAGTTTTGCTTGGTGCATTGTTGCCAGAACAGGCCCACCATGTATTGGTCAAAAACTTTCAATAAAATACAAATAAAACTTGCTGCATTTAAGCATCAATTGTTTCTTCATTCTTTGTCCACTGAAAGAGCCAACAACTAATGTCAATAGTGACCCTGTGGAAGTCCCAGGGAATTTTGCCACTCTTTTCAGTGAAGCCAGAATTTCATCTACTGGCCCATTCTGCTCCTATTAAAACCAAAGGGAGTTTTGCTGTTAATTTCCATCGGACCAGGATTGGGTCTCAGAATAGATTTGCAACCGTTTTGTCATTTTGAAACTGGAAAAGATGTGCATGGAACCTATTTGCTGCATAAAGAAAATTAAACTGAAAATTTCCCCAAACAAACAGAACTTGACACATTGCCAAATATTAACAGGTTGGACAGAAAGACCTACAGGATTGTCAGAATTTCTCTACCTTTGTATAATGCTTAATAGAATAATATCTGAGGGAATGGAGATGGGGTTTATGCATAGCTGCTTATGTGTGTGTAACTCTTCCCTACAGTTTTGAATGTCTGGTAATTTTCCGTTGTTTCTGTAATATGCCCATATGGCTGCAGAGCAAGAAATATTTAAGGGTACCCTAGCTTTTTGATTAGATAGGCAAAATCTCACAAACTCTTAAGATACACCTTAGGCATTTGTGCAATACAAATAAATAATAAGGTTATATCAGTGGTCTGGGCCAAATGATTTCTCCCCTCTTATTTTATGCGCCCAGCAATTTGCAATAAACCAGATCCTGGGGCAAGACTCCTAGATCAATTGAACAGTTAACTGTGCTTGCTGTGCCAATAAATACATGGCCTCCCAAACATTGGCAGGCTGCTAGAATGTTTACATTCTTAGCTTCTTCTTTTCTGTAAAAATGTTGCAATTATTGAAAGTGTAAAAGTGCAGATTAAAAACAAACTCTGCACAGTCATCTTAAAATGCAGGGCCCATATTGCTTAATATCAAATAACGCTGATGATGCAGATTTGTATTAATGGTGCTGTTCAGTGTTAGAATAAGTGAAGCTGTTTAATAAGCAGAGCTTTAGGAGACTAATAAAAAGCCATGCTGCTTAAATGGAACAGCAATACGCAGTGCATAAGATCCCAAGAACTAGCTTGAGCAGGGAGAAAGATGGTGACTGCACCTTAAACACAAAGGACAAATCTACTTCTGTGCATTCACCCATACTGGCTTCACTGTAACCAAGGCCAGAATTTGGTATATGGTGTTATCCTCATGCACACAGACCAAACCATTCCTGCACTAACATGATGTGGGTCTGATCCTACTTTCATTACACAAAGGGTAAGGATCTGTCCCTCCACACTGCAGGGCAGCTTATTGTGTCCTAATTACATACTATTCCAGTAGGAAAATGACTTGTACAGCAGGCATACTTCTCCAAACTCACCCTAGA